GGCGCCGCGCTCGCGCCCATTCAGTCCGGGGCCGTGCGCTCACCCGCGCGGATGCGGAGGAGGGGCGTGGGGGCGGGGTCTGACATCACGAGGACGCGGGAGGCCAATCCGAGCGCGCTAGGGCTCCCGCGGCAGCTCCGCCCCCAGGGCGTGCGGGCCCCCTTCGCCCTGCCAGGTTGGGGATGCTCGATGCAGGCTGCCTCCGCACCCCGGGCGCTCCCCGGGCACAGCCTTGCAGGCTCCCAGCACCGAGTTCTAAACGCAGATTGTGGCTGAAAGGAGCAAAAGGGAACAAAAGGTGTATTTAAGCTGGTTGTGGGCTTTTTGCAGCGCGTCAGATTCTTAGTTGCGGAGTTGGTGAATGAAGGGATTGTAAGTAAACGCGTGCTTTACTCGCCAGCTCCCCCCTCTTCTTCAGGCAGATGCTGGTCCGGTCCCCCCTCTTCTTCAGGCAGATGCTGGTCCAGTATCCCTCGGACCCCTCGGAGAGACAACCACGAGGGCAGGCTGAGTGTGTCTGGGGACTTGCAGAACCGCCTTATGTTGTCCCACGTGTAGAAGAAGAGAGAAACGGCGTGCATAGGTTATCCAGGCCAACCCATTAGTTTTATAGTCCGGGGAATCGAGGACCAGAGGGCAGCAGAGAGTTGCCCTAAGTTATTGGAACATTGGGTGGCAGAGCCAAGATCAGAACCTAGGTTCAAAATGCTCACCTTCATCTCTCCGGAGCCCTCCTTGACTCTGGAGAGGACATGCCATTCCATTAAAAGCTTAAAAATTGGTGAATCACGAAATTCAGGAATTAAATTTAAAGCACTATTATGCTGTTTCTTTCTTTTTTTTTTTTAAGGTTTTGCTATAGGGCGCATGCGTTTGCCAGAAAGACACACAGAGAGAGAGACAGAAAGAGAAATCACCCCCCAGGGGGCATGGCCACACCACAATCCCTTCTCCATTTTCCTCTCTGGATCTTGGGCACGCACGCACACGCGCCCAGCGCAAGTTTAAGCCACCAGGTCAGCGACTCGGACTGTGCTCGACTACATGGGAGTCCAGCGACACGGCCATTATGCCATCTGCTGGTCCCTAGCTAAGCTATTTCTTTAACACAGCTGAATGTTGTTTCGTTCCTGCAGTGGTCCTGGGCAGTGGGATCACTACCCAGTGAAGCTGGTCTGCTTTCAGAACCTTCTCTTAGGTTGCCAGGTACAGAGCATCCCCTGCCATGCTTGGTTTGAAAAGAAACATCCCAGACATTGAGTCAAATATATTTTCGTGAAACCAGAGCCTCGTCACTCTGTTTTGTAACAGCTTGCATAAAGCAGCTTGGTGTGGAGATGTCTGATCTTTCCCTGGTCAGTGCAGGGGCACTGAAAAAAAAATGTGGTGTCTGGATAATCAAGGTCAATAACAAAAGCTTTGGACAGGAAAAGGGTGGGAAGACTCGGTGTTCACACCTCACAAAGGGATTGTGCCCTGAAAACATTTCTGGGTTGTTCTAAGGTGAGGATAGGGAACGTTTTCAAAATGCCGTTGGAAAAGCTGTCTTCGGGCCATCTAAGTGCAGTAGGGTGGCCAAGGCTAGCCAGGCAGAGCAGCTGCCTGGGTGCGACAGCTGCAAGGAAATTACAAGCACCTCACCCTCTTTCTCTTGGAGACCAGCCTGATGCCTGCCTGCTTGGCCAAACACTCTTTACCTCCCTCACACTCCCCTTTCTCCCCTGACACCCCTTGTTGATAAAGCCAGGCCCTACCTGTGTCAGAACTGTCATAGGAGGCAGCAGTACCCTGGCTTGAAAGGGTGGGTGTACAGCGAGGGTGTGGAAGAAAGCACGGGGGCCAGCAGGTGGCGTGGTGGTGAAGGGCGCCGGACTGCCATATGGCCAACTGCAGTTCAAGTTCCAGATCTGGCAGCTTGTGTTCTCACTTTCTCTCTCTCTCTTTCACTCTGTCCTTCTCTGGCCAAATTAAAATGAATGAATAAATAAATAAATAAAGTGAAATAAAAATAATTCCTCTTAAAAAAAAAAAAAAAGAAAAAGAAAAGGAACATGAAGCCACTTCCTGTCCCAGCCTCACAGGACATCTGTTAAGCGCCTACTACCTCATTCACTCCACACACATTCTGCTGGGGGAGGCTGGCACCCTTGTACAGCAAGATGAGTCCTGTCTCCAAGCTTCTTTTTCACCAGCTTCACAGCCATCCTTAGCTGCCATCCTGAATTAGGACAGGGATGCCCAAATAGTAGTATAGTTTATTAGCTCTCAAAGTCTTACTGGTATCTCTCCAAGTCAGTGGTTAGTTGCAAAGAACCTTCTGGCCAAACTGGCAAAGAGGTAGGACTGCTTGCAAATCTGGACTGCAACTGCAGTTTCATGACCCAATACTCCCCTGTGCGTGTTACTTTGGTCATTCAATAGCAGGCATTGTGGTGGTCCCCAGCATCCAATCCACTTTCCTCTTTCGTAATGCAGTATCACTTAGGTAAGTCTGCTCCATGCTTAGTTCATTGGCTGGATTCTGATTGGTCTACGCCACCATTTCTCCAAACACAGTCTGTGAATTCCTGGGGAGTTCCTGATGACCTTTTAAGGTCAAATAATCTAAGATATTATTTACCTTTTTCATTGTTGGTGCGAAAGCAAAGATGGGTAAAACTGCTGGCCCTTCACAAATCAAAGCAGTGGCACCCAAACTGTTAAAACCTCAACCCTTGAGTATGCATCTTCTTAATATTTTATATGACAAAATGGAAACTGCCCATCAAACACTTTTGCTGCAAACTGATGTGAGATGGTCGTCCAAGTAAGATGACTTTCCAAAGAAAAGCACTTGTCTGATAGTTGGAATCATAAGCCACCCTGTTTTTCTTCACGGAACTCCACTATTTACTTAAGAAAATAGCAAATGGCAGTTATTCTGACTTGTGTATTTGGTAGGTATTTTCTTGAAAATGATCTAAGCAAGTCTGTGTCTTCAAGGAAATAATTGACTATTTGATGCCAATGATGAAAAAATTCCAATGTTCAAGAGCAATTTCAAATTTTGGAAAGCTTCTATCACCAAGAGCTTGACAGTTCCTCAATATTTAAGAGCCTTTTTCAAAATTTAATTTGCTGGAGAGCACATGCACTCACCATATATGTATAGTTGCACTCACCATATGTGTATAGTTCTCCCTTTGGTATTATGGGCATGCCTGCACACACGCCCAGCATATTTTTCAAGCCACCAGGATTAGACGCATGCAGAAGGCCACGTGGGGCCCAGCCACCCTAACCACTGCATTACCAGTTGGCCCAAGAACCTTTTTAATGAGAACAATGGTGATATTAATGAATGTGATTTTGGGAAATAGGATAATGTGTAACAGATCAACATTTGGAAGTCTTGCATTTATTCAGTGAATCACGGCTTTCCATATGATTAATACATGATGTTGCAAAATCGTACGTGGATAAAAAAAAGCTCATTTAAAATACAAAGTACACAATAGATTTTAATTAAATTGTTTGAAAAATTCTTTTTTTTTTTTTTCTTTTTGAGAGGACTTTGTTGTAGGGTGCGTACGCTCACCAGAAAGACAGAGAAACAGAAAGCGAGAAATCACCCCCCGGGGGGAATGTCCATGCCACAATCCCTCCTCTTCCATTTGGGATTTTGGGCATACACAGAAAGAGAGAAATCACCCCCTAGGGGGGTGGCCACGCCGCAATCCCTTCTCCTCCATTCTCCTCTCGGGATCTTGGGCACGCACACACACGCGCCCGGCGTGAGTTTTAAGCCAAGAGAGAGAGACAGAAAGAGAAATCACCCCCCAGGGGGCATGGCCACACCACAATCCCTTCTCCATTTTCCTCTCTGGATCTTGGGCACGCACGCACACGCGCCCAGCGCAAGTTTAAGCCACCAGGTCAGCGACTCGGACTGTGCTCAACTACATGGGAGTCCAGCGACACGGCCATTACGCCATCTGCTGGTCCCTAGCTAAGCTATTTCTTTAACACAGCTGAATGTTGTTTCGTTCCTGCAGTGGTCCTGGGCAGTGGGATCACTACCCAGTGAAGCTGGTCTGCTTTCAGAACCTTCTCTTAGGTTGCCAGGTACAGAGCATCCCCTGCCATGCTTGGTTTGAAAAGAAACATCCCAGACATTGAGTCAAATATATTTTCGTGAAACCAGAGCCTCGTCACTCTGTTTTGTAACAGCTTGCATAAAGCAGCTTGGTGTGGAGATGTCTGATCTTTCCCTGGTCAGTGCAGGGGCACTGAAAAAAAAATGTGGTGTCTGGATAATCAAGGTCAATAACAAAAGCTTTGGACAGGAAAAGGGTGGGAAGACTCGGTGTTCACACCTCACAAAGGGATTGTGCCCTGAAAACATTTCTGGGTTGTTCTAAGGTGAGGATAGGGAACGTTTTCAAAATGCCGTTGGAAAAGCTGTCTTCGGGCCATCTAAGTGCAGTAGGGTGGCCAAGGCTAGCCAGGCAGAGCAGCTGC